ATTTGGAGGACCAAGTCGTACAAGCAGAAGGCTGGGGCAGCGGACCCTGATGCATTGCAGGATGCTCCGATGGAAGAGGTGAGCCAACATGTTCCAGATGCGCAGGAGTATGTCATGCCGGATTCCTTCCCGGAAGATATGTTGTATGAGCCACGGCCGGTTGCAGATGCAGCAGGGTCCAGCACTGATGGCCCTCCGGACCCTTTGGATGCAGCCATGCCGAATTTCGACCCGTTTGCCATGCCGATTGAAGAGGAGCTTTTGGATGCAGGCATGCATGGCTCTGGACATGCAGCCATGCCGATTGCGGATGGCCCAGCGATTGAATCCATGGTTGCGGATGTTCCGACTGCAGCTGGCCCATCGGTTGAAGCTGTGATGGATGGGATCCCACCAGAGCATGAGACAATGCAGGAGAGATACAATCGCCTCGCGGACACGTATGGTGAATCGGCTGCCCTTGCTTTGACTGGCATGGTGCAGGAAGGCTGGCATTATGATCCAGTTGCCCAGCAGTGGTCCCAGCTCCATGGGTTCGTGAGCCCACTCATGCCTGCCAGAGCCCCTGATGCTCCAGTGGCAGAGACTTTGCAGGACTCGGAGGTTCCGGCCATGTGTGTTCCTGGTGAGCGTGCCTTTGGCTTGGATGATCGATTGTTTGAGACGCTGAGCATCTCATCGGGTCTGCCCTCTCCGAAGGCTGATCAGCCTATGGAGGCAGCTGAGGGCAGCCCAGTCGGCGCAGGTCATATGATCACACTTAATCGGCAGCTTTTTTTTTTCGGGAGGGGGGACAGAGAGTTGCATGCATGGTTTGATTTTGCTAGTTACAATACCTTTTGTTATATCTGGTTTATACACCAAATTTACATGTATTATATGTGATATATATATATATGTACATAGATATATACAGTCACGAGTAGGTTTGTACAGTTGTTCATGTTTAGTTTGTTTTGCTGACTTGCTGCATGCATATATGTTTGCATGAGGTATGTCACTATACATCAATGCAACTTTACCCGAGTTATTGCTGTGGCCATTATATAAGTATCCGAATGAGCATGAAGCTGTCTGTATGTCTGTCTCTCTATATTTATACAATAGATTCAACAGTACATATATATATATATATATATGTGTGTGTTCGTATACATATATATATATATATATATATATATACAATATACATCTCTCTCTCTATGTGTATATATGTGCACGTGTCTGTGAAGATGTCTGGTATGCCAATTTGACATTATGCGTGTGCCTCTGCTTGACAACTCCTTCATACATAATGTGTGCATGCACACACACACATATACATATACAGTACGCACATGTGAGATATAATATGTCATAAGACTTGTTATATGTATGTTTATAGATCTCAGATGTATTACAATAGACAAAAGTTTCCAATACCGATGATGTCTTGTTATTTAGGCCTGACGGTGCGCTTTTGGAGAGATTGCTCACATATTGCAGTGATTCATGACTCCATGGTTGCATGTGGAATCATGATCAACATTTCCCTGATACTGCTGGTAATACTTGGCTGTATCTGATTAAATAAACTTCCAGGGTGAGCTCATGTATCCAGGCATGGCCATTTTGTGCATCATGAAGGGCTCCATGTCTGCATACTTGCATGGCTAAACTTGTGCACCTTGGAATGATCATAGCCTAGCACACTCAGAGACCTGAGGCAATGAGTCTGTGGAAGAGGCGAAGATGTTTCTTTTGCAGAAGCTGCACATGCAGCGTGAGAGGAGACTCTCTGCATCTGAAGTTTAGTGGTGGGGCTTGTGGAATTGTGATAAGTCCTGCTCCACAGGATCATGGCTGGAAGCATGCCAGACAATGTGGAGACATGCCCCATGGCCCCTGATGTTGCCAGTGCCTCTTGGCCATTCCATCCAGGTATTGAAGTCATGGATTCGTTTGGTTGCACCAGTGGCTTACCATGAGTAAGCTGAGGATGCTTTGGAGAAGCAGCGGCTGTTCAATGGCTCCTCTCGTGAGGTCCCATTCTGTAATGGATGTTACATGGTTTCATGTTCCTATCCTTGACAAGTGATAGGCCTTCCCGAGCCAGATCAAGATTAACGACACGCCCGATGGCCATAACGAGACTCTTGGCTTGCACAATCCTGTTTCTGAGTGAGCTTGACAAGTCAAAGTGCAGGAACATGCCAATCTCTCACACTCTCTCTCTCTCTCTCTCTCTCTCTCTCTCTCTCTCTCTCTCTCTCTCTCTCTCTCTCTCTCTCTCTCTCTCTCTCTCTCTCTCTCTCTCTCTCTCTCTCTCTCTCTCTCTCTCTCTCTTGTATCTATATATATATATATATACAAATACCCGATATGACACCCTGTCGGAACATAGAAAATAACATACTCGTAGCTGTGCATGTGATGTTGCAATTCCTGCATGCTAGTGTGCTATCCATGCAGCTGGGCTTCCAACCTGTTGCAATGTTTCTTCACTGTCACAAGTGACGGCACAGGATGATATGTTTACCAGACCACATTGATTGTACGACAGAGTATACCTAGTATTTTTTAAAGTGTTCAATGTTATCGTCGTTGTTTGGGTTACAATAACAATATAATACTTATATAACATCATATAACATGTACCAAACTTTTTTATATATACCTGTAGAAGTGAAGGCATCTAAGATATTATATACACATGTGCTGATGGTTATTGTGTGTGCATGATCATGCAGATGTGGGACAAGGGTTTAATATATATATATATATATATATATAGAAATATATACGTGTCGAGTTTCATACCTATAATAAATATAGTATTGTGGATAATTTCATACATAATACCAATGTAATTTTCCAATATATAGATGCCCATCAATCTACATATCTATATATATATATATAGACCCTTGTATTATGTGACTATCATGACACACATGTAGCATAATTGCCTTGAGGCCTCCATTCAAAAGATCTTTGGCCAGAGACTTCGAGAAAGTCTCTGAGGATCGGCGCCAGGAGCTGCTGGCAAGTGGGCCAAGTCAGGACTTGTTGGCAAGTGGGCCGCAGGAGGATCTGTTCGCAAGTGGGCCGCAGGAGGATCTGTTGGCAAGTGGGCCACAGGAGGATCTGTTGGCAAGTGGGCCACAGGAGGATCTGGCAAGTGGGCCGCAGGAGGATCTGGCAAGTGGGCTGCAGGAGGATCTGTCGGCAGAAGGGCCGCAGGAGGATCTGTCGGCAAATGGGCCGCCTGAGGCACAGGATGATGACATGCATCAGGGTCTTGAGTCATGTGGGCCAGAGTTGCCACCAGCTGCCCCGCCGTGTGAGCCTACAGAGGCTATGGATCCGGAAGATGTGCTAGATGTGCACAGCCAGGAGGAAGTGATGGCACATGACATGCAAGTGGAATTGCGAAAGAAGAGGCAGCTGGAACTCAAGCGACGCCGTGAGAACGATGCTGCTGTGAATGGTCAGGCCAAGAAGCCGAAGGCGACTGCAGCTAAGAGGATCATGAAGCGCCCGGCTGCAAAGCAGGCTGCTCCGGAAGAGCTTCCTGAGGATGGCTTGGCAGCGGGTGTGGCAGAGATTGCGGGGCCCTCTGCTGCTGGGGATGGCGTGGCAGCGGCTGCGGCAGAGATGGTGGAGCCACCTGTGGCTGAGGCAGAGATGGCGCCACCGGCTGCTGAGGATGCGGGAGTGGAGCCTGAGCCGAAGGCTAAGGGGCGTGGCCGTGGCCGTGGTGGACGTGGGGGTCGCAAAGGACGGATGATCCAAGAGGCTCCGGAGGCGAATGATGAGGTATCGGCTGCTGAGCCAAAGGCCAAGGCCAAGCGACGTGGCCGTGGTCCGGAGGCGAATGATGAGGTATCGGCTGCTGAGCCAGAGGCCAAGGCCAAGGGACGTGGCCGTGGTCCGGAGACGGATGATGAGGCATCGCCTGCTGAGCCAGAGGCCAAGGGCAAGGGACGTGGGCGTGGGCGCGGTGGCAGGAAGCCACAGGATGCAGAGCCTCGTGGCCGTGGTCGTGGAGCTGCACAGCGTGTTGCGGACAATGATGTGCCAGCAGAGGAGGAGGAGAAGACCCCCCCCCGTAAGGGGCTTTCGGATGAGCAGAAGAGGATCTGCAGGGAGTTGCTTGGCTGCTGTAGCATGAGCTTGAGTCGGTATTCGTGACACTTCCATGTGGAATATGAATATTCATGCTACAAGTTATCTGTGATAGTGCATACTCACGGCCCAAATGGTATACTTGTTTGTGCATGTACTCATGCATGTACCTGTACCTGAAGCATGCCACTTGGTATATGGTTAAAACCAGATATGCATATATGTATATATATATATACAGATGTAATATACATCTACATCCAAATTTATATCGGGATCTATATCTAAATCGATATCTATGTCTTTATATATATATATATATATATATATATACAGATCATTGTGCATGCATGCTTGAAGCATGCACTTGGTATATGGATGAGAGCATATATCTACTCATATAAATAAATAAATATATATATATATATGTATATATAATGTAGTTCAGATCATTGCACAAGTGTATGCATGGGTATGGGGGTGTATGATGTCATAGTGGTGGGTTGCTAGAATTGATTGTGCACTGGACAGCTCAGAGAGGCTGATATTCGCTCAATGAAAGAGATTTGTTTTTAGAAGTCTGTATGTATATAATATATATATATATATATATATACTCAGTATCCATACAATCTATACATTATATTATTCAGATATACAATCGTATATATATATATATATATATACATAGAGAGAGAGAGAGAGAGAGAGAGAGAGAGAGAGAGAGATATAACATCTGTGTGTAGCTTCTTTGGGCAGTGTCATGTGTGCCCTCGTCGCAAGAAGCTGTGAACTTCAGGCTGGTTCAGCAAGGTGCGAATTACCGTCTCGAGCTGTACTGGACGCGAGGTTCCATCGGTGTTCGGCAGAAGAATGGGCCCCAGGTTTGGAGCATGACATTCGGGAACATGAAAGTCGGCATCCTCGTGGCCAATGAGGTGGTGGCTCGGCAATGGTATGCCTTCTAGATTACATGCTCTCATGCTCTGAGCAGTGCAAGTCTTAGGGCAGGCATTGTAAGTTGCAATTGCCATAACACAACATGGTGTTGAGGTCACATTGTGTGACAGAGATGTGAACATCAATGCTGTGGAAGTGCGCGAGAAGATCATGGAGTATCGTGCAGAGCTGGAGGCTAGGCATGGTGTGAGGTGGCCATGAGCAAAGCTCATCGGGCATCACTTTTGAGCAAAGGGATGAGCTTGTCCATTGCAAGGAAGTGTGCATACAGCATAAAAGGATGGTGGTAATATTCCCAGGAAGGATTGCTGTTTGGGCAAGCCGAGCCCTTCTTGCTGGAGGATTGGCAATGCGTGGGGATAGTATAGGGCTGTGTCGATACCAAGATAGGATGCAGGACCAGGCCAGCTGTGTCGCAGAATATGCGTGGAGATGAGCCTATAGACCCTGCTGCTGAACCAGTGGTCTTATGACTTACTGGCTGGGGTGGTGTTCCGCAGCCTCTGAACCTTACGTGCCACAGGGGATCCTCTAGATCGTTCTTGAAGCTCCGTGTGCTAGATGGAGACCAAAAAAAGGAGCTATTGCAGAGTGTGATCGTTTCGTCGGCTGACTGCTGCAAGTGCATGTGTGATGCTATACAATATATGTGTGCAGAGGCCGGTTGAGTGGATGTTGATGCTCTGAGGTCAGATACCACTCATGCCTGGGGGCAAGCGCCTGCTGAGACTTGCCTCCCAGTCGGATGCAGGTGGGCTGGGCATATCCTCAGCAGCAGAAGAATTATGAATTGTTTTGGTCTACGCAGGACAGCTCAGAGGTGAGTCTCTTCGGCAAGGCCGGTCCCGTCTTGGCTGCGGGAACATCTTTTTAATTATGAAACAACACCGGCCTGGTGTCTAGACCTGAAGACAACTGTTTCTGCATACTTCGATGAGCATGACATCTTTATAGCTTATGCAGCTACATGTGGAGAACCCAGTAGTTGGCCTTGGACTTATCCTGAGGATCTGTAGTTCTTCGTCTCATGTACATAAAATGATTAAATAAATAAATAGAAATATATACATATAACAAGTCTGGGTGCTATATGTGCTTGTAAAGATAGCATGCAATGCCAGGTGCCCAATCCTGTGGATCTCGAGGTCCTGATGCTGATCAAGGTTGCAACCGTGCGCCAAAGCTCATGTTGTTCAGTGGTGCAGTTGCCAGCAGTTTCTGTGTTTTGAGTCATGAATGTATATGTGTATATATATATATATATATTGTATATGTATACACTATGAATTTCTGTACAATCAAGACAATTAGTGTCATCTGTCGGATATGATATACTATATCTTATACTTGTCATGACCTCAAATGGCTGTATGCTGGGACCATGTCTGGTGCGCAGCTCTTTGGCTTAATTAGCTTAGCTTCTGTATAGTTCCCAAGATACACCTCTAGCAATTTATGTATAGTGCTATCTTATATAGATGCATGTTATATTCTTAAAGTGAGGCTGTCGTTGTAAGATACAGATTCTGAGCAGTCTTGATAAATCTGCTTGAGTGGCAATATCTCTCTCTGTCTCTCTGCAACTGCCCATCATGCACATGTGGCACTCGATGGAGCCCTAAATAGTGCTTTATCTACATCGATGCGAAGACCGGGCAGTCTTCTCTGGACTTGATAGTTATAGATAGCTGCACGCACCATGCCTGAATGGTCCTTGGATGTTCTTCTACGGAAGCTTTATCGTGCCAACATCCCATTTGCCTGCTGGCTGCAAATAGAGTCTCTTCTGGCTTTCTGCAGATCAGCATGGAAGTACAATGGTTCACAAATGAGTCTGTCAAGGTCCTATGTGTGGTCATCCTGCTCTTGATACACAATGCAGATCTGGACAAAACCTGGGCTGCATGGCTGCAGGGGCATGTCGAGGGTCTTTTCCGGTATATACATGTCTACAATATATGTATACAATTCGTTTTTGCATATATATATATATATGTGCACGTACATGAATAATGTATACACACCTCAACATGCATATCTATATCTTCATCTGTATATATATTATATATAACATACGAATGTGCATGGTTTATATATCTCAGTGTTTGTGTTCATACATGTATGCAGCATTGTGCTGCTGTGAGCCAAGGCTGTTCGTCTAGTGTGTTCTCAAAAAAGCAGTGCAAAGTGAGAGTACAAGTGCAGAGTTGTTGCATAATATTATGATGTGCAAGAAATGGAACTGAAAGATGCTCTACAGATATGCTTAGATGTGTATAGAATATATATATATATATATATATATATATGTACACTATGAACTTATGCCAAGTAATGATAAATGCATGCATTAAACGAATATGAAACTGAAGCCTCTTCTGACTAGCTGGTGGGTGACTCAGGAGTACATGTATAGGTATATCTGTATCTGTCTGTACTATCTTTTGTGCACACAACACAGTGTTGTCTGCATGTCTCATTGAGGTTTACCGCTTCGGTGAGCTTTTTGCTGGGGCAGCGAATGTCACTACTGCTGTGAAGCTCCATGGCATTCCTGCTTTCAAGATGGACAAAATCTATTACGGGGGTTTCGATTTCTTGGCACCGGCTGGATTCTCGTTCCTGGGCTGCTTTTAATGCAAAAAGGATCAGACCTTGACAGTTTCAATGCCATGCAGGTGTGGTTGCACATGTTTTATGGCATCTTCTTAGGCTGGCATTGCTGTCCATTCTACGTATGGCCCCTCAAAGTGTACTGCTTATGGCCCCGGACTGCAGCAGCTTCTCTTGGATGAGTAGCAGTGGATCTCAACGACACTGGTTTGCTCCGTTGGGTGATACTTCGAAGGATTGGGTGGTCCGGGGCAACCAGATGGCTGCCAGGTGCTGTGTGTGAACTGATTTCCAGACCTGGTTTTGGGCCAAGTGGGTTTCCTGAATATGTAGTATGTATAGCCCGTAACTGTCATTGTAATGTGACCCTGGTCAGGGTCACACTCTTGGCCCACCTCGTGGCAGCGCTTGGGCATGTCTTCATCATTGAGCAGCCTGGCAGTGCTGCATTCGGTCACCTTCCGTTGTGGCGGCGCTTTGTTGAAGACTGCTGCTATGTAACTCGAACATCTCAAAGACAGCTAAATGTGGGGTATGCAGTTTCAGAAAACTATATTATATACTTGCATGTAGTGCAGACATATACATGCATTCTGTGTCTACAGTTGTGCTTCCTGTGCTGCTCACAGGTCTATGTTTTACAGGTGTGTTATCCATGGTGCAGGTACACCCCTGTATGTGTGTTTGTGTGTATATGTCCATGAATCGTATCTGATATATATATATATATATATAATGTATACATGTTATCTGAGGTGTTCAAGCAGAAGATCTTTATGGCCATGCATGGTGGTGCCAGTGCCAAAAGCACCTGCTTCTGGTCGAATTCTTCACACATAGCTTTACTGGATCGAGGACCCATTCCAAAAGTGTCCTGGCAGGGAGTGGTTGCATACACTTGTTTCTGGATATTCATACTGGCTCATGTGCTTCTGTGCTGTCACCGAGTCCAAACGAGCCACCCTGGTGCCGGTGGCCAAATACTACATTGATGCCAAAGGGGTGCGCAGATCCACAGGGAATAAGCATCGGCTCCGTCAAAGCCAGATCTGCTCTCAGTTGCATATGCTGTCTCACAGTCGGTTATGAAAATGCCTTTATGATTTGTAGATCATATATCATTAATATATATACATGTATATATATATATTATATAATATATCCCTCTTTACATGAGTATATGTATAATCAATATATATATATATATTATAATATATGCATGTAGATGTATATAAAGATGTAAATTCGTGAGAATTCAGTACCTTCTCAGGACTTACCCTATGGACTTTGGTGATGCCCTGGCAGAGATCGTGCCGACCATGCATGAGGGCATCAAGGGCCTACGTGTGGCAAATGTGTCTCAGCTGCAGCTTCAAACATGGATGGAGCTGTGAGCCTATATATATGCATGGACATTATATCAACTGCCATGGTGTATGCTTGTTCTCTCTCATGCTCTCTCTCGCTCTCTCTCTCTCTCTCTCTCTCTCTCTCTCTCTCTCTCTATGTCTCTCTTTCTCCTTCTC